CGCCGCTGCTGGGCCGAGTAAACACCAGGAGGGCTCAGCAGCAAGCCCGCCCTGACACGCGCGCCCCCGCCGGCCCAAGGAAGAAAGAGGGGCGGCCCCCGCCTGCCCGTGCTATGTCACCTTTGGGATACCCAGCCCTTTTGGTGCCCTCGGGCACTGCCACGACCTTGGGAAGAAACACACGTGATTCTCTCTCTCTGTGACTCTTTCTCTTTCCTTTCCCTTATTCTTTCCTTCTATCCTCCCTTTTTTTCCCTTCTGAACTTATTCGCTCCCATGAGCAGAGCCCACCCTTTCCACATTTCCCAGAAGAAATGATCTGCTCTCAGTTACTGATTGAGAGCTGCTCTGCCTGAGCCCCCCTCCCATCCACTCGGCCATGGATAAGGTCTTCTAGTCCAGGGTGCTCTGTGTGACAAATGACCTCACCTGCCTCACAGGAAGGTATGATGCTCAGGTTCAAATCCCATCTCCCCCACTTGCTAGCTGGGTGACCTGAAGCTGGTTTCCTTGCCTCAAGAGCCTTAGTGTTCTCATCAGTACAATGGGAATAATAATGGTACCTAGCTCTCAGGGTCCTTCACACCGTATGGGTCAATCCATAGGGAGTTCTTGGAGCAGTGCCCAGCACTTAGAAAATTCTCTATAAATGTTTATTCTTAATTAGTATTGCTTGTACAAACAGCCCTCTTGGCCAGACCCCATTCTCCAAACTACCCATACAATCCTTATTCACTGGCCAGAGATTTTATTATCTCCTCAATGGATTAGCCGTTTCACATACTATCCCCCTGTAGATTATAATTACCCTTTAGGTAGGAACATTATTGCTTATTTATTTTCTGTTCCAAACACCCCGGATTGCTCTCCCACTGGCCTCTGGGTAAATACTGGAAGGGCATAAAGACACAGGATAAGAGTGGGGCAGCGTCTGGCCTCCAGGCTTTGTTCCTTTGGGATCATGGACAAGGTGGCATTTGATCTGGGCCGTGGGTGAGTGAAGCTCCCCTGGGCAGGTACTGAAGCATGTGAGATGGGTGAACCTTCCAGGTTTGGGTAGTGGAGTCAATTCTACCCAAAACGTGGCTGACTGCTAAGGTTCTCAGAAAATTGTAGAGAACTTTGGAGTAGCTATCCTGTATGACCTTAGACTGATCACAGCACTTCTCTGAGCCTCAGTTGCCTCATCTATAAAATGGGAACCTTTGTAAGAGCAAAAGAATGTATGGAAAGCAGGGTTCCTCAACCTCAGAACTATTGATATTTGGGGTAATTCTTAGTTGTGGAGAGGCATCCTTTGCTTTGAGAACATTTAGCCACATACTGTACCCACTACACACTAGATACCAGTAGCACTCTCTTCCCCGTTGTCTCCAGGCATTACCAAATGTCCCCTGAGGGACAGAATTGCCCCCAGTTGAGAACTACTGATACAAAATATCTGACAATAACTGGCACATAGTAGGTGGTCAATAAATGTTAGTCCCCTTCCCAGCTGTATCTGTGAAAGATTTCCTTCACCTTCAGAAAAATTTGCTAGAGAGAGAGAGAGAGAGGATCTCATACTTCACCCAAGAATCGGCCCACACTGCCAAAAAGACCATCGAAACATTTCCTCACTTGTGGGGGGAGCCTCCCCCTGGCTCACCCCCAACCCTTCTATATTCTGTTACTCCCTCTGATCCCTCTGGAATATTTCTCCCCACCATCCCATCCCCAGTGAAAAATGATACAACTTTTAAAAAATTACTTCAGCTCTCTGTGCCTTCTTTTCCTCATCTGTGAACTAAGGATAATAACTATACCAATATCATAAGGTTGTTGCAAAGATTCCTAAGTTAATACACAGAAAGTGCTTAGAGCAGATAGTAAGTGCTCAATAAGTGAAGACTTATTTATTCAACTCAGGGACTGAGTGCTTAATTCATTTAGCTGCACTTGGCAGCAAGGAAGAGAAAAATGGGTTACTGGTGGGTTAAAACATAAAGACATTGATTATTTAACAAAAGATCCAAAGGAGCTTGGTTCCTCTGGCTGGTTCAGGATTTGGTGACATCATGAAGGACCAAGGTACCTTCAGCCTTGCCATCCCCATCATGATCATGGCTTTTCTCCCAAGTTTTGGATCCCCAGGTTCACAAGATGCTGCTCAATGGCAACATCACCTGCTAAACAACTCTAAAGCAGGAAAGAAAAGAGAAGGGAAACAGGTGGGGGGGGAGGGGGGGGGCGTGGCGGGGAAGGGGGTTGGAGCTCTCCTCTGGCCTCTCATCAGAGAGAGAAAATTTTCCCCAAAGGCCCCAGCATGCAGACTTTCCCTTATACCTCACAGGGCAGCCTGAGTCACATGACCACCCTTAAATAGTTCCCGACCAAAAGCAGGGTTGTCACTATCAAGTTAGAACAGTCCTGCTCCATCTCCCGGGACATGGCTACCTGGACAACCTAAGTTCTGTTGCCAAGAGAGAAGCATCTGCCACAAGCACCTACTATGGGCTAGGCATTGAGTGAGATCCTGGGGTTACAGAAGTGAAAGACCAACAACACCAGGCCCTCAAGCAGGGATCCAGCAGTGAGCACCACAGATAAGGTTCCTGCCCCCTGGTGCTTCCAGTCCAGAGCAGGGAGAGAGGAACAATAACCGAATTAACAACCAATCAATAAACAGACAAATAAGCAAGATCCTTTCAGCTTCTCCAGAGTACATTGGTGGCACCTTCAGACCTCTGCATCAGGTCACTGCCTACTCAGGTCACATGACTCAGACAGGGGGCTCAGCACTGGTGTCATCAATGGGGACTCCCTTGGTCCAGGGCCTGGCTGCCTCCCAGCTATTCCTGGCACAGTGCAACTCACTGAACAAACATGACTAAGCAACACAAGCTGGGGGAGGTTTCCCCTGTTTCAGTCTTGGTCTCTCCTCCCTTCGTCCCCATCTCCTCCACCCATAACCTCCAGGATCTCTACTAGGGAGCCCTTATATATATATATATCTCCAGGGCAGGGCCTAAAATAGGCCATAACTGGGAAACATTCATGAAAAGATCAGAGAAGGAGGAAAATCCTTTCAGTTTGTGGGGTTGGGAGGAAAACGATGATAATGATAGGGAAATTCTTTTCTACAGGGACAATGTAGAGTTTCTGTTGCCATGTACTTCACAAATAGTGGGAAATACCATTTGTTTCTATTGCGTAAGTTCCACAGTTGCAGGGAAGAAGTTAATGCTGCTTGGAAACATTAGATAGTTCCTCATTCCATAAGATGCTCTGAGATTCTGCAGGCTCAGGATTTCAAGGCCCCTTTCTCAAGCCCTGCTTAAAAGAAAAACCAATTAAGATAAAACAAGGAAAAACAAGGGGTGATTTTGGTCCACCCCAAGTTGAATGAGCCAGGTGAGAAATGAGTAATCAGACTACCTAGGATTACCCGTCATTTCCCAAAAGCAAATGAGTTCTCTGTAAGTCAGGCCAGCTACCCGAGGAGTCTTTTCCCCATTCTGAGAACCAATTGCAGCTTTCTGAAAAGAGGAGACATCTCCACCCTTGGCATTGGACAGAACAGCTGACAACTGAACCCAATGCTAGACACGCAGGCCAGGGTTCATTTCTGCAAACCAAGCTATAAGGCTCTTCCTGATCATCTTAGTCAAGCCACCTCCGCGCCCTCCCACCAGCAAATGAGTTCTGTAAGTCAGGCCAGCTACCCGAGGAGTCTTTTCCCCATTCTGAGAACCAATTGCAGCTTTCTGAAAAGAGGAGACATCTCCACCCTTGGCATTGGACAGAACAGCTGACAACTGAACCCAATGCTAGAGACGCAGGCCAGGGTTCATTTCTGCAAACCAAGCTATAAGGCTCTTCCTGATCATCTTAGTCAAGCCACCTCCGCGCCCTCCCACCCCCACCCCCATCCCCCACCCCCAAGAATGCCC